TTGTGAGTTGCATGGCTTTTTATTTCCATTGTGAATAATCAAGCAGCAGGTAGAAAACTCTATCTGTTTAGGAATAGAACCACGATCCTCCTTGTTGTTCGATTGGCTGAACAGTCAAAGTTCACAAGCCCCCTTCGATAGCTCAGTTGGTAGAGCGGAGGACTGTAGGTTCTAATGACAGATATCCTTAGGTCGCTGGTTCAACTCCGGCTCGAAGGATGTTTTTTTCGTAGGTGCTTCAATTGGACTTTGAAATATATTGATGGGCCTCATTGCAGTTTCCACAATAAAGTTTTCGACCTCCATTCAAGAGCAGTTGGATTCATTGCTTGTGAGGAGCATGGCTTTTGATTACCTTGGTGAATAATCAAGCAGCAGGTAGAAAACTATGTCTGTTTAGGAACTGCGCCCACCCCCCTCCCCTCAGTGTTATTCATTGGGCTGAAAAGTCAAATCTCACTTGCGCCTTCGATAGCTCAGTTGGTAGAGCGGAGGACTGTAGGTTCTAATGACAGATATCCTTAGGTCGCTGGTTCAACTCCGGCTCGAAGGAAGTGTTTCAAAGGTGATTCCATTTGGAATTCAAATAAATGGATAGCAATTTCTCCCCGTCAGCGAAATCAAGCCACATTCCTCTGTGTTCATGCAGACGCTGAACAATATACAAATAATTTTGTTTTTCAGAGTAGATGGATTCATAGATTGTGAGTTGCATGGCTTTTTATTTCCATTGTGAATAATCAAGCAGCAGGTAGAAAACTCTATCTGTTTAGGAATAGAACCACGATCCTCCTTGTTGTTCGATTGGCTGAACAGTCAAAGTTCACAAGCCCCCTTCGATAGCTCAGTTGGTAGAGCGGAGGACTGTAGGTTCTAATGACAGATATCCTTAGGTCGCTGGTTCAACTCCGGCTCGAAGGATGTTTTTTTCGTAGGTGCTTCAATTGGACTTTGAAATATATTGATGGGCCTCATTGCAGTTTCCACAATAAAGTTTTCGAGCTCCATTCAAGAGCAGTTGGATTCATTGCTTGTGAGGAGCATGGCTTTTGATTACCTTGGTGAATAATCAAGCAGCAGGTAGAAAACTATGTCTGTTTAGGAACTGCACCCCCCCCCCCTCCCCTCAGTGTTATTCATTGGGCTGAAAAGTCAAATCTCACTTGCGCCTTCGATAGCTCAGTTGGTAGAGAGGAGGACTCTAGGTTCTAATGACAGACATCCTTAGGTCGCTGGTTCAACTCCGTCTCGAAGGAAGTGTTTCAAAGGTGTTTCCATTTGGAATTCAAATAAATGGATAGCAATTTCTCCCCGTCAGCGAAATCAAGCCACATTCCTCTGTGTTCATGCAGACGCTGAACAATATACAAATAATTTTGTTTTTCAGAGTAGATGGATTCATAGATTGTGAGTTGCATGGCTTTTTATTTCCATTGTGAATAATCAAGCAGCAGGTAGAAAACTCTATCTGTTTAGGAATAGAACCACGATCCTCCTTGTTGTTCGATTGGCTGAACAGTCAAAGTTCACAAGCCCCCTTCGATAGCTCAGTTGGTAGAGCGGAGGACTGTAGGTTCTAATGACAGATATCCTTAGGTCGCTGGTTCAACTCCGGCTCGAAGGATGTTTTTTTCGTAGGTGCTTCAATTGGACTTTGAAATATATTGATGGGCCTCATTGCAGTTTCCACAATAAAGTTTTCGAGCTCCATTCAAGAGCAGTTGGATTCATTGCTTGTGAGGAGCATGGCTTTTGATTACCTTGGTGAATAATCAAGCAGCAGGTAGAAAACTATGTCTGTTTAGGAACTGCACCCCCCCCCCCTCCCCTCAGTGTTATTCATTGGGCTGAAAAGTCAAATCTCACTTGCGCCTTCGATAGCTCAGTTGGTAGAGAGGAGGACTCTAGGTTCTAATGACAGACATCCTTAGGTCGCTGGTTCAACTCCGGCTCGAAGGAAGTGTTTCAAAGGTGTTTCCATTTGGAATTCAAATAAATGGATAGCAATTTCTCCCCGTCAGCGAAATCAAGCCACATTCCTCTGTGTTCATGCAGACGCTGAACAATATACAAATAATTTTGTTTTTCAGAGTAGATGGATTCATAGATTGTGAGTTGCATGGCTTTTTATTTCCATTGTGAATAATCAAGCAGCAGGTAGAAAACTCTATCTGTTTAGGAATAGAACCACGATCCTCCTTGTTGTTCGATTGGCTGAACAGTCAAATTTCACAAGCCCCCTTCGATAGCTCAGTTGGTAGAGCGGAGGACTGTAGGTTCTAATGACAGATATCCTTAGGTCGCTGGTTCAACTCCGGCTCGAAGGAAGTGTGTTTCAAAGGTGTTTCCATTTGGAATTCAAATAAATGGATGAGTATTTTCTCCCCATCAGCAAAATCGAGCCACATTCTTCTGTGTTCATGCAGACTCTGAACAATATAAAAATAATTTTATTTTTCAGAGTAGATGGATTCATAGATTGTGAGTTGCATGGCTTTTTATTTCCATTGTGAATAATCAAGCAGCAGGTAGAAAACTCTATCTGTTTAGGAATAGAACCACGATCCTCCGTGTTGTTCGATTGGCTGAACAGTCAAAGTTCACAAGCCCCCTTCGATAGCTCAGTTGGTAGAGCGGAGGACTGTAGGTTCTAATGACAGATATCCTTAGGTCGCTGGTTCAACTCCGGCTCGAAGGATGTTTTTTTTCGTAGGTGCTTCAATTGGACTTTGAAATATATTGATGGGCCTCATTGCAGTTTCCACAATAAAGTTTTCGAGCTCCATTCAAGAGCAGTTGGATTCATTGCTTGTGAGGAGCATGGCTTTTGATTACCTTGGTGAATAATCAAGCAGCAGGTAGAAAACTATGTCTGTTTAGGAACTGCGCCCCCCCCCCCCTCCCCTCAGTGTTATTCATTGGGCTGAAAAGTCAAATCTCACTTGCGCCTTCGATAGCTCAGTTGGTAGAGCGGAGGACTGTAGGTTCTAATGACAGAGATCCTTAGGCCGCTGGTTCAACTCCGGCTCGAAGGATGTTTTTTTCGTAGGTGCTTCAATTGGACTTTGAAATATATTGATGGGCCTCATTGCAGTTTCCACAATAAAGTTTTCGAGCTCCATTCAAGAGCAGTTGGATTCATTGCTTGTGAGGAGCATGGCTTTTGATTACCTTGGTGAATAATCAAGCAGCATGTAGAAAACTATGTCTGTTTAGGAACTGCACCCCCCCCCCTCCCCTCAGTGTTATTCATTGGGCTGAAAAGTCAAATCTCACTTGCGCCTTCGATAGCTCAGTTGGTAGAGAGGAGGACTCTAGGTTCTAATGACAGACATCCTTAGGTCGCTGGTTCAACTCCGGCTCGAAGGAAGTGTTTCAAAGTTGTTTCCATTTGGAATTCAAATAAATGGATAGCAATTTCTCCCCGTCAGCGAAATCAAGCCACATTCCTCTGTGTTCATGCAGACGCTGAACAATATACAAATAATTTTGTTTTTCAGAGTAGATGGATTCATAGATTGTGAGTTGCATGGCTTTTTATTTCCATTGTGAATAATCAAGCAGCAGGTAGAAAACTCTATCTGTTTAGGAATAGAACCACGATCCTCCTTGTTATTCGATTGGCTGAACAGTCAAATTTCACAAGCCCCCTTCGATAGCTCAGTTGGTAGAGCGGAGGACTGTAGGTTCTAATGACAGAAATCCTTAGGTCGCTGGTTCAACTCCGGCTCGAAGGAAGTGTTTCAAAGGTGTTTCCATTTGGAATTCAAATAAATGGATAGCAATTTCTCCCCGTCAGCGAAATCAAGCCACATTCCTCTGTGTTCATGCAGACGCTGGAAAATAAATCACTTTTTTAATATCAATAATGTCAAACATTATAATCATATAGGCCTACGCCTCCTTAGTATTACCGTATATAAAATAAAATACTCTACTTTGAATAAGTAGTGTTTGGTATGTTTTCTATCTACTACTTCACAACACCGAAAACAAATCTAAAAATCTAAAATTCTATTAATATGTAATAAATATATTCCATTTCAGAGCAGAAGAAACAGCCTTCAAGGGTCAAACTCTGCACATACATCATTCAGCAGTGCACAGTGAAGCTCAAACAATCAACTGTATGAACAAGCAATACTTTAAAATGCAAAAGTCTGTGTGTGTGTGTGTGTGTGTGTGTGTGTGTGTGTGTGTGTGTGTGTGTGTGTGTGTGTGTGTGTGTGTGTGTGTGTGTGTGGGGGGGGTGTGTGGGGTTGTGTGTGTGTGTGTGTGTACGAGAGTCTCTTTAATAACAATGTTCAACCCAAGCCTCAAATTCGCGTGACGTGTTCTCGCGGTAGCCAATCAGCAGTGAGGATCTCAGCCACTGACGTTGAATCAGAAAACGAAAACTGCTGTCGTTAGCTGTTAGCACACAGAGCTCACAGCTCCTCATATCTGTTCAGAAACTGGACAAAAGTTAAACAAGTACAAACCACAGACTGTCTGTGTCATGGTGAATACAGTCGCTGTTGTGTCTGTGTCTGTATCATGTTATTGTGAGTGTGGACGGAGCATAAACAGGTTAATTTAGCCTGATCGATCCGATCTCCATTCAGAAAACACGCATTTTAAAAGGTTTTTCGCCTGCCGTCTTGTCTGCACACTTGTCAAAGCATTAATTCATGGTTTTTACTAACCATTATCAGTATTTTGTTTATTCTGCATCATTTTTAAACGTGTATTACAATTAAATCACGGTAAAATACGTTAATTTTGTTGTAGTTGAGTATTTACATGGAGATAAGCCCCGCCCCCTCTCCAGCGCGTCCTGTTTGAATGACAGGAGTAAACACAGCTGACAGCTGCAGTGAAACTCCAGAGATTAGAGCAATGCGAATATTCGCATCGCGTCCGTTGTGAACGCAGCATAATGCAGTTCAGAGACCAGACCACTGCTCTTACGCTTTTAAAGCAACTTCGAGATTTTAACAGTGTGAGGGGCAACAACGGCCATGGCCGTCATGGCCGCCGTGAAAATCCTACCCTGGGTGAAAGGTGAAAGTCCCCAACAGAATTGGCTTATGGCAGCATAACTAGGAGATGGTTCAAGGCAAGCCTGAGCAGGCTATAACTATAAGCATTAACAAAATAAAGTCTTATCCTACTCTTAAATGTTCAGAGAGTGGCTGCCTCCCGAACACAAACTGGAAGCTGGTTCCACTAAGGAGGAGCTTGATAGCTGAAGGCTCTGGCTCCCATTTTGCTTTTGGATAAACAACATGTTCATTGGTCCAATATCTTGTTTTATGATAAGGCCATTGTTTGTTTTCCAATATTAGCATGTTAACACGATGAAGCGAGATGGTGAACATGACACTACCTGCTAATTGTCAACATGTTAGCATTGTCACTGTCAGCATGTTACTAAGCTAATCGATTATCTCAAAGCAGCATGTCCCTCAGCGCAGCCTCACAGAGATACTGTGCACTCTCTCTGGTTTCAGGTGGACTTTGATGATGGGAACTGCCCTACATATTACAACCAGATCAAAGGACTTTGCAACGTTTATAAGGCGGTTCACAACAAGTTCCCCAGTAAGTGCTCTACTTTATATAAAACTACATTACTGTACATGTTCAGGAATATTTGTGATAGCACATGTGCGTCACAGTGCGCTCTCATGTGTTACAGATGCTCCACACATATCTCAGGCTCCTGTGCTGATGCTCCGTCCTAGAGCCTGGAACATGGTGGAGCACAACATGATGGTAGTAGCACATATGTACCTCACTCATTCTATTCTATTCTACAGAAGGTGGTTAAATAGAAAAAAGCCTAAACTGGTTTGACTTCATTTGACTTGGGCACCACCTTGTGGTAGTATCAAAAGACAATTTGTTATTAAACTGATATCTGTCTAGAAAACAAAAATGGCTGTAAAGAATAATTTGAAAGTCGCTATACTGCTCAAAAGTGTGATTTTGTTGTATCTATGGTAATGTGTGATGGGTATTTTTCATTATATTTTATGTATTGTAGGCCAAATAACTATGAATTATCAAAAATTAAAAATGTATACATAAAGATAAATATTGTGTATGAATCTCTTTACCAGGTGGGGGGGAAGGAGGCTCCTGGTCCTCTCTTTGACTTTGGACTCCTCATGTTTCACTGTGGAGAGAAACTCTTCAGAAACGGGAGTGGACCCTTTTTCTACCTCTCAAAGGTAACACACACACACACACACACACACACACACACACACACACACACACACACACACACACACACACACACACACACACACACACGTATATACAGTCAACATGTCATACTCTTTCTCATTGTCTTCCAGGTGGAGAGTTTCATGGAGGCCAGACTGTGGAAAAAGATATTTGTGTGGACACAACTGAAGGTGTGCATACGTATCAGTTATCTACTTTTTTAATGATGCTTAAATCATTTTTAATTCAATGTAGCATATGGGCAGCTGATGTAAAGTCAAACGGGGTTAAGGAATAGTGGATTGGAGAAATCAAAAGAACTTAGGAGAAGAGACTGTGGTGCCTTGAGAATCCGACTGCACTTACACTATCCGACGTATTTATGATGCGCCAACGGGCGTCATAAATGTACGTCTGCTGTGGGGAAACTACAGTTTTCTATACAGCGGACTACATGGATGTATAATAAGAACGGCGGGCTACTGTAAGCCCATCTAGATACTTTGCACCGTGCTCTTATGGTGTTGTTTTATGCTTTTTAAACGTGGACAACAGAGAAACATATTCTTCATGACCAAGGTTGGAATTGAAATAAAAAAGGAAAGTGAAACTTATGCTTGTCACCCTCACCCTCCGGTCCACATTAATACAACAACAAGTCCTCCAACTCATACGACCAAATAGGGCGATTGTTCAAGCGCTTATTACGACTTATAATCACGTTTTCAAGTTTTCGACCTCTAGTGCTCCCGTTGACTGCAAACGCTCTGGTGGGTCGTATATTCACAAATAACCCTCTCTGGAAAATCCTAAATTGTAGGTTTGGCCATTAAAATGCTTTTTGATGAGATTTCTAGCGAGAAGTGTATATTGTACTTTTCGAATCCACGTCCAGTGGATGTGTAGGATCTATAGTTTGATAGATATTACGAAGATTATTTGAGGTCTCGCCAGGAGAACGTGTATATACTACGTCTTTCCCTCTATTCATTTCTATTGACGGCAGCGTCCATGTAAAGTTAGCGTCAACCCTCACGGGGTGAAAACAGTATTTCCGGTCTCGAAGTTTTCATAATAAAACCGGAAGTATTCCCCTCACTGTCAAATGATTACACAGTGATATCTGCCGTACTCATCCACTAAAAAACATCAGTTTATCCTTGTTAATTACACAACATTAATTGGTTTAAATTGTGTACACTGCTTTTGTGTTTTTCACATAGGTTTTTCCCTTTGGATTCTGAGAGACACATTTCTTTTTCAGAGGTTTTGATAGGCTAAAAGATTGAACTACCCATAATCCTCAGCTATTGTTGAAGCTCGGTGATTGGATGTTTTAGCCGCAATGCACGTTGGGATATGGTGTTTATGCGATATGAAATCCGAAAACATAAAACAAAATTATAATAATACTTTATTCCGAGTGTGCTTGCTTTTCTCTTTGAAAGTCATCACATAACTGCATTGTAATACACAGTTCGGCTGCATTCAATATTACACATCTGCCGTAGTTCTCTATTTATAGAGCCCTGACTAGAAGACCTTTGGACAAACTGGAAGAAATGCCGCCGAAACTGAATATGTGACGTGGATCATAAATATATCAGCAATTAAACAACATCTTCAATTTCTCTTCACACAATACGTCTCCTTGCAGTATCAATAGTAGTAATAATTCGGCTGACTTTTATATTTGATACAATTGGTAGATAGGCTATATTTACCCCATAACGGTGCACAGCTGATAGAAAAGGAGTTGAAGTTTTTAAAGATATTACTGATTTTCTTTGAATTAAAGAATGTAAATACTGAGTTGAGAGAATAGTCAGGGGTTTTGGGTGATGGGAGACACATCCATGGAATCAGAATTTCAATAGCTTGCCAATAAATGACGGATATACCTTTCTGTCTATGATGTTTTACAAATCAGATATTAATGTGTAGAACTACAATATGTGAAGGAAGTTATCATATCAGTTTCAAACCTCCTTTCTTATCATCTAGAGCAGTGGTTCCCAACCTGGGGCGCTTTTTTTTTACTTATAATTGTAACGCAATACATGATTGTCACTAAAAGCCTTGTCTCTACATTACAATAAAATATAAAAAATAATTGATTAATTAATTTGAATAAAGATTCAAGTTAGTAGCTATTAAAGGCATAAAAAGACAGAAATGTATAATTCTTTCTTTAATAGAAATGTTTCTTCTGCCCGTAAAGTGTCCAAACCAGGCTTTTCTGGAAAAGCGCATTTTTAAAACATAGTCATTGTCCATGCCGGTTTCAGTTGGATTATTTGTCACAGTTGCTCCGATCAGATCGGTCTCCTCCATTTTGTAGATTATTTTCGACTTTTGAATCCACATAAACACATCGGCAAAATCCGGCTTACTTTTAGCATGTGTTTTAAACAGTTTAATCCCTTTGTGAATTGTTTCCACTTGCGCCGTCCTTTAATTTCTTCATACAGCGGGAATCCAAATGAATTAATCCTGAGTCCAATAACCATCAAAGTCACTCCAATAGTGCTCCTTAATTACGCTTTCATCCTCCTTTAGCAAAATACTTCACATTCATCCAGTTTGTGACAGTAGTTGTAGCATTTTTGAGACTTTTAAACTTTAATTACCGCTGTTGCGCAACTTCCAACAGGAGTCATTTGGGGGGGCTCTTGGGAAAAAAGGTTGGGAACCCCTGATCTAAAGAATTCCAACGGCTCTTATCATGGCTGCCACTGAGATACTTCCGGGTCATTTCACTCCGTTAGGAAGGTTCCTAAGCTAAACTAACAATTCGACCGCAACCTTAGATTCAATGCTACCAAGCAATTTTATGATCTTGAAGCAACATTTTTCCCTTTTTAAGTATTTCTTGTCAAAATATTAGCATTTTATTGTTGTGTTTGAGTCTCAAAAATGTTATAACTTTTTCTTGAACCTTATTCTCATTAACATTTCGCCCCATGGTGTCCATACACCCTTTTGTCTAAACCTCCATATTTACAGACATGTAGAGAAGCAAAGCATCAAATGTTCTGAGTATTTGGGTTAAGCTGAGCATTCAGATTTTTCTTTACATGTCTATTGCAGTGAATTTGTTATCCCATTTACAAACTGCCATTTCATGAAATACATTTTGTATGAGTAATTTCTGTTCTTCTTAAGTCAACAAGTATGAAAGCCCTTCATTCTGTGTGGAATGGTCCCTGGTATGTAGATGAAAGTCAGTGATTGTGTGTGTCTGTGTCTAGTTGGGCCTTCCCCTGGGCAGCATCAAAGCCACGGTGCTCATTGAAAATGTTTTAGCAGCATTTGAGATGGAGGAGATCCTCTACGAGCTGCGAGAGCATTCAGCAGGACTCAACTGTGGCATCTGGGATTACTCAGCCTCCTTCATCAATAAGTTTGGTGAGCCAATATTTCCTTTACACTGAGCCTCTTAACCACTGCTGCAGCTCTATAGCCACAGAGTGAAGGTTCACAGAGTGTATTTATCTTTAGGAATATCTGTTGACAGTGCGCTAATTGCAGTGGTAGAAAGTAACTAAGTACATTTACACAAGTACTGTCCTTAAGTACAATGTGAGGCACTTGTTATTCATATTCATGTTATGCTACTTTACACTTTTACTTTACTAAATGTTTGAGGTATTTATTTAATTTTTTAATTCATTCAATTTTTGTAACAAATGTTGTTAATAGCTACTTTGCATGTATACATTTACCTTACAGAATATTAATCAACTAATAAATCATTATGTATTTGTATAGGTTAAGCTGCCCAGCAGTATATCAAGTAATTTGTATTATCCCCACCTTTAGCAAATGTAAGATTGATATACATTTTTTAATAATTATAATACTACAATCTTATATTTTTAAATCTGATATGGGCCATACTGGAATACTTTAACTTTTTGTACATGAAGTGTATTTTGATGCCAATACCTTTGTTCTTTTACTTAAGTACAATTTTGAATGTAGGACTTTTACTTGTAAATGTAACACTGTAGTGTTGCTACTTTTACTTCAGTTAAAGATCTGAGTACTTTTTACACCTCTGGCTAATTGTGCACCTAAGTTATCTGAAAAAGACAATCCTTGTGTTCATGCTGCAGGTCTGAGACAGGCCTTCCTGCTGCCTGACCGCAGTAAATACGTGAACATGGAGAAGCGTTTCCTGCACAGCTACATGGAGCTGCTGGTGCAGACGTGTCATCGGAGGGGAGCGTTGGCCACAGGAGGCATGGCCGCCCTGCTGCTGCCGGAGGACAGAGACGCCCACAGGACAGCGATGGCTGCCGTCAGCAGGTGGAGCATCACTGTCACACACACTGGCTCAGCAGACTGATAAGCCCATGATGGATCTACTGTAGCAGATATATTCAGTCACTCAAAGTCAACATGGCCTTACAAATGAAACAGAAAAGCACATTCACTGAGCAATGAGATACAATGACTGAAATGACCTGTCATAACCCCATACAAGAAAGCACTGGAGGGAATAACAAGCACTTTCATCATTTTAATCCAAGTTTTATAAGTCATTGCTCTAAAAACGTACAGTTTGATTTGAGCTTGGCACCATTGTGAAACAATTGAAAAGAAAAAATCTTACAATGGTCCTTTTACAAATTATTAAACACTCTTATAAACACTGGTATAGCTAACTGGTGTCAGCAGTAACTTTTGTGCTGGTTAACGTGAGAAAATTATTATGAAGTGTACATAAGCTCGGCTAACTTTAATACTCTCCTAGGTATTGCCTTGTATTAAAGTTTTTTCGAATAAATTCCTGTGTTTTCCTAAGTAGTATGGTGCCAATAATAGAAAAACAGATAAAGTTCAGTTGAACATGGCAACAGGCTAGAATGTATTCAAACCAATGATAAATTAATATTTGATGAAGGTGTATTTGGGTAAAAAGATATTTAAATTACTGTGATGAGATCAAATTAAGCCAGGAATCTTCCCATACAGAAACTTTAAAGGTCCCCTATTATACTGTTTTTCATCAATATAGGTCTCAGATCAACACACTCTCACTCCATAAACGTCCAGGAGCGACGCTTGGTCAGGGTCCCGAGGCGTGCAGTTGGGACGCTCCTAGGCTCCTTCAGCTTCATAAAGGGACGCAAATAGCTTTCAACTGATTTAAAGGCAATGTGAGCGTCCATTCCCATTGGATAACGGAGAATTGTACACCCGGAAGTAAGTATTCCTCTTACTGTCGATTGATTTGACAGTGATATCTGTACTACTCATCAACTCAAAAACACCAGATTATCCTTGTTAATTACACAACATTGATTGGTTTAAATTGTGTGCAATGCTTTTGTATTTTTCCCCTTCGATTCGGAGAAACACATTTTTTTTTGGAGTTTAGGATGGCAGAAGACACTACACTACCCAGAATCCCCAGCTATCGTTTAGGACTACACCACGTGCTCTGTTTGACAAACCCCGTGATTAGTTCTCAAGCTCTGTGATTGGATGTTGGAGTGGCAGTGCGCGAAGTTTACACGTGTCAAACAGCAGTTTGAAATGGAATGAAACCCATCGACGGCACACTGTCCAAATCAAGACTCGAACGTGTCCTACCCTCCACCATTAAACTGTCATATTCTGCACATTTCTTATTCTATCTACATACATCTTATAAGAGTATAATTAATATGTATAATATCAGTTAAAATAAGTGCTTCAACATAGTTAACATTGCAGGAAAGTTGATTGTCAAGTCCCAAAACAAACCATGCAATATATTAAAGTTAAGTACTTTGTCAGGCTTAATATAGATACCCCCAAAGCTTTTTGCTTACATGTATTTAAAAGAAGACCTTAACCTAACGTATTATTTAATGTTTAAATAAAGCCTAATTTGTTTGTCTGTTTTGCACATCCTCCTATTAATATCTTTGTACATCCGGCCCTAAACTGTTTTATTCTAGATACCATTTACAGTATCTTCTTGATATTTTCTATTCTATATTTCTATCATTGACCTTCTACTTTCCTCCTATTTTGTATATACTCTTAATATTTAAATGTTTTCATAAAATATAACACATTCAAAAGTGCTTTACAAAAATGAAATACATTAAGAAAAAGGCATTTTAAACAGTCATTAAAAAGCAACACAATCTACCTGCATTTCAATTACTCTAAACGTGTAATAACGTGCTTTAACCAGTAGGAGGTGCGGGTTAAAAAGCTGTCAAGTTTACAGTGTTAACAAAATAAAATATACTGCTGTTTCTGGTTTAGTTTACGACGGATATATTCTGTTATTGTTTTGATATTTGTAACACAAAAGCGATGTAAAAAACCAACAGCAACACAGAAAAGATGGTCTTAACATGACCCAGCGGTCTAGTAGTTAATAAAAAACAATAATATCAAAACTAAATATTACTACTAACTTTATTGTGAAATTAAAACAGAACGGTAAAAGAATAGTTTCCGGTCTATTCTGAGGCCCGATCTCTGTAGATAAATAAAGAACTACGACAGATGTGTAATATTTAATGCAGCCGAACCATTTATTACAATGCATTCATGTGATGACTTTCAAAGAGTAAAGCAAGCACTGCTGAATACAGTATGATTTTATCTTTTACGAAACGCTTTTTTTATATGGAATGCAGTTGGAGGTCAACCAATCACAGAGCTTGAGAACTAATCACGGGGTTTGTCAAACAAAGCACATGGTGTAGTCCTAAACGATAGCTGGGGATTCTGGGTAGTGTAGTGTCTTCTGCCATCCTAAACTCCGAAAAAATATTTGTTTCTCCGAATCGAAGGGGAAAAACACAAAAGCATTGCACACAATTTAAACCAATCAATGTCGTTTAATTAACAAGGATAATCTGGTGTTTTTGAGTTGATGAGTAGTGGAGATATCACTGTCAAATCAATCGACAGTAAGGGGAATACTTACTTCCGGGTGTACAATTCTCCGTTATCCAATGGGAATGGACGCTCACATTGCCTTTAAATGCCGCCGACACAAACGAATGCCGTGCTTCCATGAGCGTCAAATCCCGCCGCAGATGGGAATACATTGCAATCAGTTGAAAGCTATTTGCGTCTGTTTATGAAGCTGAAGGAGCCTAGGAGCGTCCCAACTGCACGCCTCGGGACCCTGACCAAGCGTCGCTCCTGGATGTTTATGGCGTGAGAGTGTGTTGCTCAGATATATACAAAGCATGTCTCTGAAGTGTTTGCCTCGAAATACCAAACAGATCATTGCAGCATCCAATAATCCCCTCTGTTTCAGCCCTGTTTCCAAAGTGCTGATTCTCTGTCTGTTACTTTAGATGAAAATAAGGAGTTCCCCCTCCTCTCCTCTCACATTACATTAAGGAATTTACCCTTATTTAATAACTGTCACTAGTTGGCGAGGAAGCTTTTTAGCTAAAGTTTCATTGTATCGCTTTAAATTAAATGTAGAATTCTGGGGTTGAGTGCTTGAGATAACTTGTAACTAACTTTAGACCAAGTGTTGGGCATAATACAGTCTATGTGTTGGACAAACTGACCAATCGGAATATTTGACAGCTACAGAGGGCTGCATTGTTATAGATTGCACAAGTGGCTTCGTTTTGGCTTGTGGTCTAAATATTGGCTTGAAACTTCAGGTACATTCAGGTGATAGTTAATCTAAGCACTTTCATAAAGTAAAAATAATCTGAATGCTCCTTAAACCAGTGCACAGAGCAGACATTAAATTCAACAAAAACAGAGGACATCAAGAAAAATGAGTGCTTGTCTTCTGCGTTCATGCAGTGTGTAGATATTGCTACATGTTAAATTGACTAATGTCTGAAACTGTTTCCTCCACCCCCCAGACTGAAGCTGATGGAGATCCAGGCAGGTGTGGATGGATTCATGGTGTACGATCTAGGCTTGATTGAGCCCATGCAGAAAGTAAGCACTGCACCATGAGCCTTTCAAAGCTCTCTATAAACACAGATCATCTGAAATGACTTGTGTTTTCTCTCCGTACTCCACCTCTTGTAGCTATTCCAGCTCCACACTGAAGGTGATAACCAGCTCCACCAGCTTCTGGAAGATGTGACGGTGACCCCTGATGACCTCCTGTCCATGCCTTCAGTCAGTCGCTCACTCATCCCACAATGACCAGCAGAAGATACCTTTCAAAGCTGTGTTATTTAAACATAATAGATTAATACATTCAGATTGAACCATTGATTGCAAATCCATCCATTTCCAGATGGACTGGAACAAGTTGGGTATCAAGTTGGTTGAATTGGTTATTTACAGTGGCTGCACATTCAAAAAGACCGAAGTATTTTACTTACTGCAGATATTTTTGGCAGATATAGGTTTAGAGTAAGGTAATATAAGGCAATATTTTTATTGTAGATTAATCCAGATGTTACGCCCCATGGTAAAAGGGGAGAAATAGAGTGAAGTGATGCTTCCCTAGCGACAACTTTACTCAAGTCAAAGTATTTGCAGAAATACAACACTGCAAGTAGACTGTATACAAAAAGCTTCTTGTAATAGAGAGTACAAACCCTTTTCTATTACTAATTACATAATACTGTAATTATGAGGCTTATTATTGAAGTACTGCACTTAAGTGAGAAATGGAGGTACTTGTGCTTGTATTTTTATTTACTGCTACTTTATACTTTGACCACACTAAAAGTAGTGTGTTTAGATCAAATGTTGTACTCTTTACTGCACTACATTTATATTACGATTTAGTTTCTATGTACTTTGCAGATTTAAATAAAAAAATAATCCAACTAATACATTATTATATATTATTATATTTTAAGATAGCCAGCAGTAATCAAAAGTTATTCTGATAAACCCCACTTTTACCAAGTGTGACATTGACTTGATTAACAATAATACAAAATATATCAATAATTATATGAATAATTATAATACTATAATTTAAAATTATGCCATCCTGCATAATGAGTCATTTTACTTTTGGTACTTACTTGAGTACAATTTTGAATCAAGGATTTTCACTTGTAAATAAGTATTTTCACACTAGTATCTACTTTAAAGCACAGATCTGAGTATGTGCATGTGACAGAGCATGATAGAAGGAAATGTAAAACTGATATTGTTAGCTTCACATAAAGAACATATATTGTGTGTTTTTGTGTTACTTTGTCCTCAGGGAGGAGTCACTCTTTATGGTCTGAAGTATAACATTGCAGTCGGGGTCCTCTTTATCAATGCTTGGCTCTCAGGTAAGTCCACGTTCATATTCTTCTTCTCTTCTTCTTTAGGAGCACTCAGGATGAAGCTTGCATAATGTTAGAATCATGTTCTGTTGTACAGGTAAAGGACACTTCTTCTACAGAGGCCAGGTGGAGGATTCAGCCACAGCAGAGATCTCCAGATCACAGGTGGGCTTTACTGCTTACACTGAAAACACTGTGCATGACCCCTAATCATATAAATAGAGATTATTTTACTACATTTTAGAGCTTTGCACATAGAGAAATTATTCATCACTTCATGAGAGGGACATGTCCACTGAGATATTACTAAGTACTTATCACGTTCCTGTTGCAATACCTGCAGGTTAAAAATAATACAGTAAATGCAAGACTTTCGAACATCATTTCTTATAGTTTAAATGCATGTTATCAACATTTTGTGACAACTGCAGAATGTCTTCAAGTCGAGTGTCATTCAGTTCCATTATATTGAAGTGAAGACAGACATCTCCACAGTTGATATCTCCAACAATCGGATTCAACCAGCATTGTATAGCCACATTGACCCTGAGGTATAAACAAGTTTGTGCGTGTGTGTGTGTGTGTGTGTGTGTGTGTGTGTGTGTGTGTGTGTGTGTGTGTGTGTGTGTGTGTGTGTGTGTGTGTGTGTGTTCAGGTGTGGCAGTGGATCCGTCACCAGACTCAGCTGGAGGATGACAGCAGGGTGGTGAGCAGACGGCTGGTGACTGACCTCAGTAAGGAGCTGGTGATGGAGCTGTTGATGGAGCTGGGGACAGGCCGTCACTCTGACAGGTGAGCACCTTCAGGACGCCTTTTAGACAAGCCAGTGATATGGACATGTGTCAATGGTAGATCACTGCACCGTTGACATTTAAGGTCACCTATTATGCAAAACCCACTTTCTCATGTCTTTTATACTTAAACATGTGTCCCCTGTGTGTTAAGAGACTCTGAAAGTTTCAGGAAAAAAGATTCTCTCTCTTTTTGTCCTGATCCATCTATTTAAATCCTGTCTGAAAATCAGCTGATCAGATTTTGGCCACTTTGTGATGTTTTTTGGGTTGTGCAAACATTAGCCAATAACCAACCTTATCACCTGAATCTCCTCCTAGAGCAACATTGTGTTTTAAAAAAACAAAACAATTATCTCTCAGAGGGGCGTGGCCAGCAGCAGCTCATTAGCATTTAAAGCTACAGACACAGAATCAGCACTTTTGGAACAGGGCTGAAACAGAGGGGATTATGGGATGCTGCAATGATCTGTTTGGTGTTTCAGCAAAACACTTCAGAGACATGTTCTATATATATCTGAGACCTGTGATATATTGTTGAAAAATAGTATAATACCTTTAAATCGTAATTTATTTCCACACAATTATAAACATCGTGCGCCCTTTGATAAATGTGTATTTGCTGTTTTCTAGACATCACCTCTTTCAGATACTAGTCAGACTAATGCTGATATTTGGCTTTAATTTCACCAAAAAGAGTCACAGTCTTTGAAACATATGCCACTTCAGGTGTGGAGCTGTCTCCTATTTTATATTGTGGTGCTTATTCTTCAATACCAGTGCAACAAAATCATGTATGTCCATGGCTTGTAAGCTACAGGTAGCACATTGTGCCCTGCTGAGGAGAAAAAGCTTATATCATAATCATCATTCATCAATCATAAACAGTATCATAACTTTGACTTCACATTCATGTTCGTTGATTTCATATTTCTGTAACTTTCCCTGTTTGAGTTTCAGTATTTATTTCTATTATTGGACAGAAGTTTCTCTCTCTGTGTCTTCCTCAGGGATAAACGGAGGTTACTCACAGCAGCTGACATGTTCCTGGAGGTTGTCCTGAAGAGAGATTTTCCAGAGTTCATCACCACATACTTGAACCAGGACCACACCTTTCTCAGCTCCCAGAACACTGGACAGGTGGAGGCTATAGGTGGAGAGATACCCCGACCCAAAATGTGAGGGTCCGGCTGCAGACTGCTTCCTGTGCTCAGTGCTGTCTAAGGAGATTCCTTAGATATTATTTGAGCTAGTTATATAGAATGTATCAACAAGTTGGATTAAATAAGATTTATTGATAATGAAAACAATGTTTGGTTGCTGCCATGCTGCTCTGAATACGCACATAAAGGCATCAACAAGTACTTCTCTGAAAGAACCAGCAGAACCAGACCAATGTGGATTCTTGTGTTCACAGTGATACTGTAAGTCACTCCCTGTCAAATTAAAGGCAATAACACAGTCTGCATTAAGAAGCATCTTGTTTTTCCTGATTGAGGGTAGAGTATATGCTACATTGTGAACAACAAATCCATTTTGTAATCTGCAGAAGGAAAGCTAGTTAACGTTAGCTGTTTATACTCTCTTCTGGGAGGATAACCACTAACAGCAGAGTTGGGTGTAACGCGTTACAAAGTAACGCGTTACTGTAATAATATTACTTTTGTCGGTAACGGAGTAGTGTAACGCGTTACTTTTATAATTCAGTAATCACACTACAGTTACTAACATTGCCCCGACACGCGTTACTTCGTTACTTTTATAAAATCAGTCATAATCACACTGACAGACAAGAGGGGTTTCCGCCGCAGGTTTATATGTACGTAATCTGCGCGACTTGCGCGTCCACATCTCCACGTGCAGTACTGCATAAACATGGCTGAGTCAGTGATAACTTTCGAGGGGTGGAGGTATGCCCATTATTTTGAGTTCGTCCGAAGAATAGACAGGAATGTGACGGTGAGGTGCAAACTGTGTCCAGGCCAGAAGCTGTTATCCACTGCTGCAAACACCACGTCAAACCTCAACAAACACCTGCAAAGAACACATGCTAAGGTGAAGCTAATAGCTAAGGACCCCCGAACCCAGAGTGAGGATGTTGTGAGTGCGCCGCCGTAAGAATTTGGAGGACCGGTAACCAAAGCAGAAATGGACAGGCTTGTAGCATCCTTCATAGTAGAGGTAATGTTGCCCATTTGCACAGTGGAATCACCATCGCATCGTTCAGAGATATACTGCGCAAAATACAGATAGCAGGAGACAGAGGACAGCCATGGTCAGAGCTATCTGGATCAGTCTTATGCGACAATGGAAACTGAACTAAAGAGAACATTTTAAACTTTAGCAGTCTGCGTGATCTGCCTGTAGGGAGGGGCGGGCCGGCCCTGCGAGTAAAGTAACGAGTAAAGTAACGAGTAAAGTAACGAGTTACTTTATGTAGAGAGTAACGAAGTAGTGTAATATATTACTTTTTTTTAAAGTAATATGTAATATGTAATATATTACTTTTTTTTAGTAACGACCCCATCTCTGCTAACAGCATATGGCAAAGGAGCAGTGTTGGGTGTAATGCGTTACAAAAGTAACGGAGTTACAGTAATGTATTACTTTTTGCTGTAACAAAGTAATGTAACGCATTACTAATGAAATTTGGGTAATATTATCCGTTACAATTCTCAGTAACGCAGTTACAACACATTTTAACCCGAAATTAAATGGTGTTTTGTTTTTTAACATCGCGAGACATTCCGACACCAGAGAAAAATTGTGCGGGTAGATTAGTAAACCTGGTGTTTACCCTTCAGGCTCATCAAATCCGGCCCGCAACTTCATTTTATGTGGCCCCGCAAGAGCTTGCAAAGAATATAATACGTTTATTATACGGTTACATGCCACTTTACAGAAGCAGGTTGCCCATAAACTACATGTCCCACAATGCATCTCATTTTGTGACATGCACACTGAAGACTTGCAATTATTTGTCCTGGACTTCTGCTTTCAGAAGTAGTTGGTAGTTAATTACTAAGTTATTATCCTATCCGATAATAATCCAATTCAGAGGCAATAGTGTAATATAATACATTATTTTATATATATATTATATATTTATATATGTATATTTATATAGTTACAACCGGCCCTTTGAGTGCAACCATAATGCTAATGTGGCCCGCGATGAAATTGAGTTTGACACCCCTGGTCTATACGATAGAGAACGTTAGCGGATTCAACTGATATCGTCTCCGTGTGGACGGGGCCTTAGTAACATTAGAAATCCACCATCAACAAAGCAGGGAAAACACCGGGAACAGGAAGGAGCTGATTGGCTTGGAAGACTAACGACTGATTCAGAGGAGGTGTGTATGGGAAGTAAGACCGGAAGTAAAACCAGACGAGATTCAAAGTTGAGAATGTCTTTAAAATAAAAACATAATTAATATAAAACATGTCCTATATTTCGGAAGTTAATATCACACAAAGCAGAAAGGTACAAAAGCGTTTTGATGCTGATAAAGATTGTCCGTGCATCTCTCAGTATAGGGAGACACACACATCATCTCTGCTGGGTGAGATTGCTGCATGTATTAAAGGAGAGGTGTCATGGCCATTTCCACTCAAGTGTGGCTTGATATTGAGTAAGAAAAAGGTTGATAAACGCTGTGAGAATGGGTCTGCAGAGAGAATTTGGCCGCGATCCCAACTGTCTGTTATCAGCCTGCAGCCAGGGAGGAGAAATCAGCAGAGAGTGTGTGTGTGTGAGGAAGTCCGTGGATTGGTCAATTTGGACCAATCAGCGGGGGCTTAACGTAAAGGCTCCGCCGACGTAACGTAACGGCTCCACGGATTGGTCCATTTCGTTCCGGGTACCGCATTACATCATGCCGTACCCGGAAAAATCAAATGGAGAATGACGTATCTCCAACGAGGCGTTTTGGGGAGGTATTTTCTGTGTTAGAGTTTTACTCGCTACAGGGTGTACTTTGAGGGTTTTGACTCTGCACACCGTTTACATGCATAAAAACCTTCATAACACACAAGGGGACGGGTAATAACCGGAAAAGCATGACACCTCTCCTTTAAACAAACTCAAAAATGTATCAAAAAGTCTTTAAATAAAATGTTTTTATTAAAATTTACGTCATTAATGTGCACATGTTTGTTCTGCAGCACAGAGGCATATATTGGCACAAAGAAATGAGAAAAGATAAATGGGCTGAGTCCGACCCCATTTTACTCTGTGTTGTGGTGTGGAGTCTCAACCTGACTGATGCATTGGCTTCAAGCCCTTTTATACCAGGCAGCTTATTGCAAGCAGATGTTTTGTGCTGTATTATCATTAGTAAAATATTGTTTGTGAATAGGACCATGAAATTGGATAGTAGTTGCAAGTGATTCCAAATGCATGGTGTTATCAGCGGTCTTCCTGTATATGGCCCTTAACAGAGTGGGGAAGGAATGAGTCCTAAAACCCAGAAATGAAGTAGCATTATGGCAAATCCTGTTCCCTCATCTGAAAGTCAACGGTTTTTAAATGTTTTATTTTTTTGTTTAGATTAATAAAAAAGATCTGTGCACAAGAGATTTTCACCAGTTCTACATCGTAAAATAAGTCAGTAAATACCCCACTTGTGAATGGCCGAAGCGGTGTCATTGAAAAACAAGTGACATAATGAGACCACTAAACGTCATCACACTGAACATTACCCGTGATGTAGTTCCTTTGTAGCTCAACGTTAGCTTTTCATCTCTGGCTTTAGCATTTAGGCTTCAATTATTATAAAAGTGGTGTTAATAAGTGGGGATTAACCTGCTGAACAAAACAAAATATGTTTGCCACAGATCTTCCAATGGAAATAGGTGATTTTATTTTTGCCCTTGAACCCTATTCAAACTTAATATTATTGTTTTCAACTTACATAATAGTTATGTGAAGTCTGTTGAAATAAAACATTTAATTAAAGTCTATGTTTCAGTTTTTTCATTACAGTCATACCTGAGGCCTAAAGTGCCAGTGTGTCAAGTAGAAACTAGTTTATTGTGTATTATTAAATCAAAGAAACACATTCTGCCTGAAGAAATTACATTTAGAGTCTGAGCTCTGACGTTTAGTATGGTTCAACTTATCTATAGGCTACCAGAGTCTCAATACAGACTATTGCCGGATTCCTATGAATGTTCTTGTTAAATGTTTTATTGTAAATGGGAAAGAAACTCCAAACCAACCAAAACCAGCTGTAAAGTCTGACTGACAGGATGTTGGCATTGTCATAGGGGTTAAGGACACTGTAATAATATGACAGTATTGTGAAATAATGAAAGAACAAAACAAAGAGATCAGACACCTTTAAAAATAATGATTATAAAGAAGAGGTAAGCTTGAACACAACCTGTGCAACATCATAGGATCTGAAACTGTGTCATCATTCTGAGCTCTCCTAGCATCAGCACTGACCAGAAGATAGAAAGCAGGCGATATGATTCACTGCTGTCAATGTCACCGGGATGATCTCTGACCTCTGACCCTGGGTGGTGGCAGTTTTATGAGCTTCATAAAAGAACTGGAAAAGTTGGCTGCTGACGATTTATATGTTTTTACTGGTGTGTGTCTGTTCTTGTTGGTGTGTGTTAATAAATGTTTTGGGTTGACTGCTCTTGGTGGTTGTGTTAATACAGATGTGTTAACCTCTTAAGCACGGCGGTCCTCCCATTGGACCCCTCCCACCGTTTTTTTTTCGAGATAATGTCTCAGGGCTTCTTAACATTTATGAAACTATTAATGTGTAGAAAAACCTATAAACCTATAAGCTTTACAGAGGGTGGTGAAAGCTGCAAAGCACATCACCAGGACGGAGCTGCCATCCATGGAGGACCTCTACACCCAGCGGCTCAGGAAGAAAGCCCTCAGGATTATAAAAGACCCCCATCACCCCAGCCACAAACTGTTCTGTCTGCTGCCGTCTGGCAGGCGGTACCGCAGCATCCGGACTAAAATCACCAGACTCAGGGACAGTTTCATCCCACAGGCCATAAGACTGTTAAATACCTGAACTTTTGAAAGAACATCCATAACATTCATCTGGTTGTAACTTATACTTATATATATCAATATTCCAATTACTTGTATATAGACTATTCTGCACAATTTCTATTATATTCTATTTTATTTTATTTACTTGCACTATTAGTTTTATTGTGTTGCACGGTTGGAGGAGCCTGTGACCCAAGAATTTCATTGTCATATCTACACTGTAGCTATGTACATATGACAATAAAAGCCTTGAATCTTGAATCTTGAATGACAATTTTCCTTTGTGTATTCACCTGGAGCTTTTCTTGCACTGACATGTTTATCCCAGAACTTCACTAAACTCTGGCTCTTGATGGGGGTTTCCACGTTCTTCAATAAAGTACAACTTTACAAGCACAAATAATGCTTTTCTTTAAGCTGATCGTTCGTCAGAGGGAA